TTGATGGATGATAGTCGTTCATTCACAGACGTGTCGATCGAATCCTTGAAAAATGATCCTGTGCATCGGCTCACACATTTTCAATGGGAGTATATAGACGTAGCGATGCATCAGTATATAGGGTGTATAAAAAGCGGCATGCTTTTACAAAAGATAGCTTGTACAAAATTAAAAAAATGATGATTGTCGTAATATGATGATATAAATACGTAATTTCCAATTACATCAAAAATTAAATATTTTCTTACCATTTAAACTTTATAAAAAGTAAATAAACGTTTAATACAAATTTAACTAAATTTTATTTGTAGGAGATTTAGTTTGCGCTACGACGAAAATATGAAATAGATCAAAACAGGAAGCGTACAACAAAATCGCGCTGCAATAAACTGGACTTCAAATTTTCCAAAGAATCTGTCTTTGACAATGCGCGATTTTCTATCACACCCTGTATACACACACACTCGCCCGTCCACGAGCATATGGCAAGGTAGGCAGCGGAGTTTCTTTTCGGTTAATATGTTTTCGCGATCTACAATGCGCTCGGTCGGGAGCCAAAGACAATTAATAACCTTCCGGAGTATCATTTATCGCGACAGTTTAGCCTCACGTTAGAACGAGCTCGTCCCATCATCTCGGAGCGCGGAGCGCATAAACGCCGCGACGCAGGTAGCCGCGTCGTAGATGACATTGTCTGCCTCCTCGAGCCGTGACCGATCCGATTTTTAACAGCGATTTTGCGTTTGCCACTCGAGAGTCAATCGGGAACAGTCGCCGCGCGCGACCCTCTCACACTTGTGGGAATCGCGATGGGTGCTCCTCTCGGAAGTACCGTGATTCGTTATGCCCGCGTTATGCCCTCGTGCACATGTGCGACACGTCGTGCCGGAGCTCTAGACACTTTAGAGAGCAGCTGCTTCCACCGAGACGCGATGCGTTTCGCGAGCGACACGTTCCAAAGTGTCCAAATGAATATGTAACGTTTACGAGCGGTCGAGAAACTCGAGAAAAAAAAATTCGTATCGACTTTAGCAGGAAAACTAACTCGTTGCGTCATTATGAATTATACAAAAAGGAATAAGGTAAGCGGAAAATCTTGGCGATAAATATATTTTTGTGAAGAATACAAGGGGTAACGTTTAAACTATCGAGAATCCATCCACGTATTTTATTTTATATAAATCCGAAAGATATGCGAAGGAGCATGTTGCACGCGATTGCGACTAAGTAGTGATTTACATTCGCATTGCGTTTTTCCAGACAATCTTGCGTGATTAACGAGATCGTGCATGGTCATCTAGATCGTGATACATATGACAATTTACTTATTCAGGACTTTCCTGCAATACCAAAACATGCTGTATTGTGGTCAGCAGAGTGTCGACGAAAAAAGCGTATCACGATATTAAATAAGTCATTTAAACGAAAATGTGTGAGGAAATTCAATATTTTCTTGTAAAAATCTTCTCCGTAACGAGTATTCCATTGAGCATTTAAAATTAAATATTTAATCGTCAAGTCGTAAGGAATATTCAAACAAATATATAATTGCTCTTGAAATAAGAATGAACAATCGTGGAACTTGTTAAATAACCGCGTATTATAACGGAGGGTCTTATCGAATATATAAAAGCTCCGGGTTTTATATCTGTCTTCTGCTTACTCCAAGACGCACGAGACCGGTATGCCTCGTCGGCGCAATTTAATCTCCCTTTATTTGGCGATTAAGCGCGCCACCATTGATTTATAATCTCATAAAAGGCCGAAGGCACGGTCCTGTAACGACGCCGGCAATATCGCAAACCGAAAGAGCATCGGGAAGGTCTCTCGTCTGTATGCATATATATATATCCATGGAGCCGCACGTAAGCCGCGATATAAAGCGACATTTAAAATTTTATACGCGATCTCGTTGACGAAATCTCTGAAGTTCTCGATGTTAACTCAATAGGAATGCGCATTTTAAGCGATATAGCGATATAGCGATATATAACGCGCAATTCCTGGAAGTCCGTTAAATTTCTATCATTAAAGCTTTATAGAATGAAAATTTTATTTAAAGTTACATAAATATTATTATTTCTTTATTAAAAAAATTCAATGCGAAACAGTTACTTTATTGTTTTATAACTGTAACTCTGGAAATCGTCACCTTTTTGCAAAGCGATATCTTCACCGTAAGTTTAATCGCATCTCCAGTTCAGGACGTAAGCATTGTACTTGAGAATATATATTCGTGATTATCTTCTGCTCTCGTCCGCAACGAGTTTCACGGTGTACGCGATAAGACGATCCGATCGTCCACTCAGTATGGCTGCCTTCCGTACGATGTCATCTTAACGGAAGCGAGACCAAGTGTAGATCGGTGTAATTCACGAGTTATCACCGAGCGAACAATGAGCATCGATTTAGATTAGAAAAGTAACGGGTAATTTGCGTGCACACCGTTAAACGTGCCTTTTAAACGATCCAGATAAGATAAAAACATTTCTACGCATTCGCACGTTTCACTTAACCCGCTCGACTCGCAGCGTTTCGTTATGTTTGTTCCAAGAAAATATTCTAGCATGGCCTGCTTCCAAGACGCGAGTTAGTTTTTCCTCTACCTTAATCTAATCTAATTTATTGAGAAAACAACGATATTTTTAAAAAAAAAAAAAAAAAAAAAACGACTAAATTGCGAAGGCGACGATTCAGTTTCAGGCGTTAAAAAATTTAGCGTGCAGGTGTTTTCTTGCAGATCGATACGACGTGACTGCCATATGAGAAAGCGAGATTTTAGAATGCAGAATCCTTAATCGAGTATTCCACTTTGTCGCCACGGTTAGGTCAGGGTCTTAGGCTTCATTCGGAATCGAACAAAAAAGATAATACGCGTATTTGTCACGACTCGCGGTACTTCCCGCACGACTTGTAAAGGTGGTACTATAGTGGCGGCAAAAAGGCGTTAAGTCAGATCACGACCCCGTGACGACGACGAGCCACGCCGGAAGGGGTTAATATGCAAATGAGATGCGACACGACGCTTAGGTCGATATGCACAAAAGGTTTGCGATGTCGGTTGTGCCAAAAACCATGCAAATTTAATCTTTGCATAAGTTTTAATCACTAGATCAGAGATGACGCTACGGAATACTTCAACAATTATGCACATTTGTTATCGAACATTAAAAAATCCTTAGAATTCAATATAAAAAAGAATAATATGTACATATATTTGCCATATATGATTCTTTTATATTTTTTTGTGTTTTAAAAATGAATCAGCTTTATATTTGGTTGAACTCTGTGTCCTAAATAGATACGAAAATTTTCTAAAAACGTTAGAAAATCAGAAAATCTAGATTTTATGTTAAAGTTACTTTAAATTAAATTCTAAATGGTATGCACTTTTTAATTTAATAGGATTATTTATCACATTAAAGTTATCACCTAAAAGTTTCGCGGAAAATAAAGTGGCATCGAATACTCGATACTCATAGTTCAGCTTCAAATATCTTGATGTAAATCTGTTTATGCTATTTCCTTATTTCACAAGAGCAAATATCTTCCCCTAATTCTCTTATTTAACTTACCGAAATGAAGATGCGTCCCTGAGCACACACGCAACTCGTCACACAAATGTATGCGTGCACGTGCGTGAGCGATGAATCGGAGCGGGGAAAGATCGGAGACGACAGAGAAAGACAGAAAAGGAGAAGAGAAAGAGAAGATATGCGATTCTCTTCTCGGACCTCTCTCGAGTATAGAGCTCGCTGGATATACAAGTGGGTAATAATCGTATGAAAGGGTAACAAAGGTGGCTGACACACCGCGGTCGGCGTAAAGAGCAGGGGGCAAGGGTATGGGCGCGGGTAAGGGAATAGCAATAAATATATTTTGACATGGGAGAGCCTCGCCGACGGTCTTATGCATAATAATTGTAACGGCCGTCTCTCTCGCACTTACGGTACGACACGTACGCACAACGTACGCACGCGGGCAAGACGTCGTCGCTCTCGGGCCCTTTGTGTCGCCGAATTACGGTACTGGCTAGCACAGTAGGCAAATATTATAGCAACAGGCGGAGAGACGAAGGGTAACGATAATGTTTTCATTTGATGACGACTAACCTCGACTAACCGCACGTGAGATCGTTGAGGAGATGGTCCCCTCCCTACTTCTTCCTGAGAGGCGATCGCGAAAGCGCCAAAGTCATAAAAGCTTTTCCGGAACTTACGAAATATTTTGAGCAAATGTTATATTTGATTGGCTAATTAAATTGGTAATTTAATTGGTCTAGAACTGATTGTAGAATTGATCTAGATTTGATTAATTTAGAACTAATCTATACACAATAAAAAATATGGGTCCCATGTATTAAAAAATGTGCCGATTAGATTTTTGTGTTAAATATTTAACATATTTAGATATAAATTTATCGGATTTTGTGTTGAATATGAACATATAGTATGTCGCTGTAATATATTCGTATTGTAAATTAATATCAACATTTAGATGGATTAAGATATATATTTTAAATTCAACACAAATTTATTTTACTACTATATATAAATAAAATCTAAGTAATGGCAAGTATACATGAATCACAAGTTTCACAAATTTTATGTATATGTAATAATTTTTTCGAGCTATCTCTTTCGCGATAGAAATGATTCAATATAATATTTTATTATAAAAATGATAAATTAATAATGTTTGCATTGCAAATAAGAAATTTAAGATCAAGATTCATTCTTGTAACGCTGCTTCCGCGCGATTTCGCAATGAATACGGAACCGGCTCCAGAGACTTTAATGCTGGTGCGTGAATGTACATCGAGAGATTTAAGTTGAGCGATACTGTTTGTATCGAAATAACAATATTTATCTATATCTTTTTTATAAAATAATCATAATGGCAATTTTATGGGAAAAATATACAGATTAATAGTGATAGAATATTATTATATCCAGTATTTTAATACGCTATTAAAATATGCAAAATAAGAGACGACTCACCTCACTGAAATAAAATGAAAATCCAAATATGCAAAAACGCCAGTCCTGTTTCCCGGAGTCACTAAGTTAACAATAAGAATACAATGTTCTCCAAAGCAACTATTTCAGTTCGCTTATCACATCGTATTTCTCGTTCTCAAGAAACGCTTCGTTCAGTTTTATCGTGCAACTCTTCGATCACATATTCCTCCAGTTATTTAATGCTTGAATCTGAAGAAAGTTGTTTTTTTTCCGTGTAATAGCCTGATGGTCCTTTCAAGAGTTTCGCTTGTATTCGATCAGTCTCGTTCTGCATAGACCGCTAGTGGCGGTGTCACGCCGGTGTCGTTTCGATTTCGCCGATTGAACCATACAATCTCGATTGATCGCAATTCACGCACGACTTCCTCGTCCGATATTTATTCTATGCCTTTCCTCTCTCTTTTCTCTCCTTCTTTTCTACTTCCCCCGCTGTTTCCTCGCGATTTTTTCCTTCACCTCTTTTCCTCCTTGTTCGTTGCTCGTGATCGTCTTTGTATACTCTCGGTGTCTATCTTTCTCTCTCTCCGCCTCTCTCTCTCTCTCTCTCTCTCTCTCTCTCTCTCTCTCTCTCTCTCTCTCTCTCTCTCTCTCTCTCTCTCTCTCTCTCTCTTTCTCTTTGTCTCTCTCTCCCCTCTCCTTCTGTCTCTCTTGTATGTGCACGTGTGACGGTGCGACTACGGCGATGGACGAGAAAGGACTGGTGCTGTACGATCGCTCAGACCTGTTTGACTGCATCGAAGCGCCTGAGGAGAACCGTACCGTACCGAAGGAATGATTTTCCTCCGTATAGTAAGAGCCATCTGGGGAGCTGTTCTTACCCATCGGTTCACGCCTGTGCCTGGGCCCGCCAACGGCTCCAGTCCGGGCCCGATCGGTCGACCAATCGGTGTGCACCGATTCCCGGTGCCTAGGCTGTCCAAGTGCCACCCATTCGTCCCCACTTGTAACCGGCTCCACCACTCTTAAAAGATCCTAACTACCAGCCCTCGCCAACCGCAAATATCACCACTCCGCTAACCCGTTCGTTGACTACAACTCCAAATTTTTATCACAGAACTATATATATATAATATGCGAGCAGAAGGAGGAGGAAGAAGCACAGTGAGTTACCTTGCATTTCCTGCATTTTATTTTTTTTTTTCATTTTCTTTTATTAAATAAATCGACATTAAAAATTATTTAATTAATAATAACATTGCTAATAACACTAATAATATAATAGCCAATATTTAAACCCTTTCGTTGGTTTGAAATTGATTTATAAAATAAAAAATACAAATAAAATTATGCGATTTATCATTATGTTATTTTAATAATGAATAATCAAGACAATCGCAAATATCTTATTCTATTCATTTAAAGACTCAATCAAAAGACATTGCCATGATTTTTATAATAATGTACTTTATATCTACTATTTCTTTTTCTTCTTATTAGTAAATAAGTGTAATTCGTTATTATTATCACGTCATACGAATGTTCGAACGATCATATCAAGATGGTTTTTTTCCACGTAACGCGTTTTTCCTGGTTGAAGTCATAGATATTTTCAGTTTTCTCTAGCATAATATTCCAGCGAATATCATGGCGATTTCTCAAGTTCGGACAAGAGATTTCCTCGTCACTGATATTCGAAATAGCGCTCTTACGGCGCTCTAGAATCTGGTTGCGGAGAGACGAGTCTTTTCGCGACACTTGCGGTTCGAGCAAAGGCTCCTCACGTCGAACGATATGGACTTTATTTGCGTATGCTAAATGGTGCACGCACGTGTGGTTTCCACATTCTCTCTACGGCTAATCACATCGCAAATAATCATGAGCACGCGGCATGAATCCTTTAGTCTCCAGACGTACTTTACGACACAGCTTTGCCAGGGCGAGCATATTTTTCTTCTAACGCACTACGTGATAGTTTGTAAAGATCTTTTAGGTGACGGAGACTTTTTTGTGGAATTTAAGAACTTTCTTGGGAATTCTTATATGATTTATGACTAAATGTAGTCCTATGATTATTAAAAATGATGTTGCCACATAGGTTCATGAGAGACAAGCGATTTTTCATAATCCTTTACAGATGTCGTCCCTATATTGTGATGTCTAAATTTTAAGTAAACTATACTGAACTATACTGAACTGTACAAAGATTATTTGAAAAAACATGGTTATTGTGAAAGAGTTGACAATGTGGTACTTTTATATGTCTTTTATTTATTTTATATGTCTTTTGTCCAGTTCTTGCTTCTATCATTATTGACTATCTCACTTTTCTCGTATGGCATCGTGTCAATAACATCGATTGTCTTTACAAACGTATAGAACAATTAACAACAATGGATTAAATGTCACAAAATGGCATGCAATCGAACGCTGAAACAATTTTTGTCATTAAGAAAATGAGCTCTTTTTTCGATGGAACATTCTTGTGGGACTTTGGAATATCTTACCGATGCGAACGTATTAGAAATTCAGCGGTCACAAAGTGGTTGGTTGATCCAATAAAATGTCGAAAGGCGTACAAGGGCAATGTCGGGCCGCAGTGGTGCGAGACGGCGCCATAAATTAGAAAGATGTGTCCACTTGTGGAAATTAAACCATAGAAACTGGTTTTGAACGTAAAACTCATCTTCTCTTGTTACGTGTGACTTTTTTTCCACTATTTCACCTCTCTTTCCTCGTCTTGCTATCATTTTCTCTCTTTCTTTTTTTCATCCATTTATTCAAGTATCCTTCTGCTTTCGCCGCTTTTTATGATTTTTTTTGTTCTTCTGATCCACTCTCACACTCCTCAGGTTTTCTTCACGTTTATGCTTACCACTATTAGTCTTGGATCTGATTTATTTCATTTTTTTCAGTTAACAATTGATTTCGTTTCGCAGAGAAAATAAAAAAAATCTATAAAATCTTTGTTAAAGTAAATATAAGAAATGTGAATAACAAATGCAAATTTTTGTAAAATTTGAAGTAGTGTGTGTGTGTGTGTGTGTGTGTGTGTGTGTGTGTGTGTGTGTGTGTGTGTGTGTGTGTGTGTGTGTGTGTGTGTAAGAACAAAACTTCAATATTCGACTCGTTTTGGATTTGCTCATTAACACAAAAAAAATTAATATATAATGTTTAGGAAATATCTTTTGATTTAATTAATAATTAATTATTTTATTCTGTAGAATAATGCTAAATGAATTGATGACTGAATGATAAAGTCTTTTTACAAATACATTAACATTCCCATTCGGTCGTAATACTCGATAAATTACGACATTTAAAAAATTATTATCACATATTATTATCACATAAAATATGAGGAAGACGACTTTTACATGGTTGATTGGAAAAATAAATTTTTTTTACAAAATCATATTCGTAGTGCTTTATTTCGTTATTGATCGCCATGCGATGATGATGATGATGATACGGTGATGTTCCTTTTGAAAGAAAACGCTGTAAATCCGCCGATGTATGGCAACAAGAGAGGCACTGCAGACAACGTCAAATTCATGATCAATTGGCCGCATATAATCCGGATGTATCTACGCGTTCGACCGTCCGTTCTCCTTTTTGTCTGTCGCAGTCTCGTCCTAGTATGCATGTTCGCTCATGCAGAAGCCTTTCTGAAGAAGGCAGATGGGACTAATATAGACTCCATTCTACCCGAAGATATGAACTCATTCTTTCGAAAGTGTCGGAGCTGCCCATCGACACGGAAACAAATAAGATTTATTGTTCCACGTATGTCGCTCTGATCGCTCCCTTTGGCCGATGAAAAACGGTTGTGATGGTTTTCGTCTCGTATAAACGGAAAGACTCACGTGTAGGAAAAACTAGGAAAAATAATAAGGAAAATAATACGTTAGTCTGCGGTAGACGTTAAATTGCCAGCATCAATTTACATAATTAACAATATGAAACAACGATGTGTTGTGATTATCGACTTAATTTAATTATTTACATAAGTGAGTTTAATTAGAAATTACAGGTGAATTTAATTATATTATAAAGGATAGGAAGAAAAATATGTACGTAAGTGTATATGTGCGTGTACATACATATATTTCTTTTCAAGATCGTGAGGAATAATAATAATGTGGCGGTTCGAAGAATGATTTGCTATTTCATCGTGCTCTAAAATGCGGGCCCATTATTTCCAGAGCTACGTATATACATTACAGCTCATAAATTGCGGAATGGTATACGCACTCGTAAACGTAAAGTGTAAACGTATGTTTTTCACGATCGAGAGCCCACTAAAACCCCGGTAACAGTGATATCGACTATCGCAGGACTCAGCCAACGGGAACACTCGTAAACCTTTCTGCGCACGAAATTCGCAACGCGATCGTATTTCCCGACTGAATGAATCGGCCACCGTGCAAAAATACGATCCACAATCAGACGTAAATACCTGGAAATAAATTAGAGTAGAGAAAATACGATTGCAATTCGGCATTAATTTTCATGCAACGATCGAATTAACAGAAAGAATAATAGTCGCACATTAAATTCAGATGTAAATGGTGATTTCAGATTTCTCAAACTCTTAAATATTGACAATTTGTTATTCGCAACGGGCAATTGCACTTTATTCGATCAATATTGATAAGCATAATTCTTAAGGTTCAACTAATTCGCTTTTTTTTCATTTGATTATATTTGTTATATCTAATTAGATTTTGTACACAACTCAATTATCTTTTTTATATCCGTGATCTAATCTGATTAATGTCGCTGGTAAGAAACGACACGCGCAAATTTCACGCCTTTTTAAAGGCGAAGAAGTGTTATCGCCAAATAAGGCAGGTCCGGGGAGAAGGATAGAGTTAACGGTTTTACGAAAGCGCGATCGTGCAGAATTTCTCGAGATAAGATATATGATCGCTTCTAGCGGAGAGAGGCACAACATAGGTTCTAATGTCCTTTCGTATTTGAGTCCGGATCCTAGGATGATGCCGCATCGAAGAGAGCCACGCTCGTCTGAGAAATTGAGCTACGACGTCGCCTGGCGTGCGGCGGCGCGGCGAAAAAATGGCGCGGCATTCGTGAGATTTCAGGAACGCGACGGCAATGCGGCATGCTGAAAAGCGGGGTCTGCCACGCTTGGTCCCATTAATCGAAAACAGGCGGAATGTCGTAAGAGCGAGCGAGCGAGCGCGAGGAGCCCGAGCCGTTTCTACGTTGCGACCGGCCGAACGAATGATCGAATGACGCGACGACGTGCGAATCGTCGTCGTCGCTATAATCGATTACTGCGAGATTATTAAACACAGTCGGCCTCGTCGAGCGAAGAAATCTTATCCTATGGTGCGAGGTCAAAGGGACACAGTCGAGACGATCGTGCGCCTAATGAAAACTTGCAAAGCTGCATCTCCGAGTGGAAGAATTACAACGTGAGGCAATAAATAGCGAAATAGATAAGACAAGTACATTTCATAGATTCTTGAAATTTCTTATTCTTTTTAACATCTAAGATACGTCTTTGTGTAGGAATTAATTTAGCGTTTCCGTTCTCCCTGAAGAAACATTCTTCTGAAAAACTTGAAATAATAATAGTATTTCATGAAAA